TCCAGGTTTGTCTAGCGTTGCGGAACCATTATTTCGTTTGACAAGAAAGAATGAATTGTGGAAATGGACATCGGATCAAGAAAATTCATTTCAAGGTTTAAAAAGGATGATACTTTCAAGTGTGATGTTATCGCATTTCGACAAATCATTACCAGTGGGAATAGCATGTGATGCTTCAGAAGTAGGCATTGGTGCCGTTCTATTCCATAGATTTCCAGATGGATCAGAACGTCCTGTTTTCAATGTTTCAAAGACACTTTCAAGTGCTCAGAGAAATTACAGCCAGATTCATAAGGAAGCATTTGCAATTATTTTTGCCTTACAAAAATTTCATTCATACCTGTTTGGAAAAAAGTTCACAATTGTGTTTGATCACAGACCACTTGTGGCTTTATTCGGCCCGACAAAAACTTCTCCTAAACTGGCATTAAACCGACTGACAAGATGGGCTCTAATTTTACAACAATACGACTACACGATTAAATACAGGAAGACTTCAGAACACGAAATGCAGATGTTTGAGTCACTTATCATCGGATGAAGATCCAAAATTTGATGCTGCAGAGAAGCAACTGGATTTTTCAAAGATGTGTAAAATTAGCCCAGTCAGCCAGAAAATGTTGCATTTAGATCCAAAGTTGTTTGAGAATGAATCGCAAAAGGATCCGGTTATTTTTTTCTGTCGGTAAATTCCTTCAGAAAGACTGGCCAAGAGAAATTTCAAGCAAGGAAATTCTACATTTTATGAAATTAAAAAATTTCTTGAGTCAGGCAGGAGGTTGTTTATGGATGGGAAACAGAATGGTAATCCCAGAATCTTTCAAAAAAAAGCCCTCAAACTTTTACATCTGGGACCTTTTGGCATGCAACGAATGAAGCAACTTGTACGATCAGCGATTTATTGGCCAAACATGGACAGAGACATCGAAAGATTGTGCAGAGAATGTTCATCATGTCAAGAACATCAGAACAATACTCCTAAAGCGCCCAACGAGCCTTGGCCTGTTCCGGATAGACCTTGGGGTAAATTACACATCGACCATGCCATAAACTTTATGGAAACAAATTGGCTCGTGATCGTGGATGCTTTATCTAAATACCCTAGCATCCATCCAACAAAAAAAATTACGGCATCGTCAACTATTGACTTGCTAGAACAGGAGTTTACACATTTTGGATACCCGCTCGCAATGGTAACTGATAATGCTACAACTTTCACTTGTGAGGAATTTCAACTCTATTAGAAAAAGAGGAGGATTCAGCGCCTTACAGGTGCCCCATACCACCCGGCAATTAATGGTCAGGTAGAAAGGTTCGTTTAAATTTTCAAAAGGTCTATGGTAAAATCAACATTGCCGACCAAAGCTGCCTTGCGAGAGTTCCTCATGCAATACAGAAGAGTTCCTTTGTCAACCAGTCTTTCGCCAAGTCAATTACTGCATGGCAGGCAAATACGAACTAAAATTGATATTCTCCAACCAATTTCAAAAGGGAAAGAGAGGGGAGAGAACTACAATAAGGAGAAAGGTTTGATAGGTCAACCGTGTTATGTCAAGTACTATGGCCCAAGAAGAGATCGCCAAGCCAGATGGGTTCCTGCAATAGTTTTTCAAAGATTAGGTCGAAGACACATTGGTCAAATTGATCCCACATGGTTTTCCTATGAAAACGACACGTAGAGCAAATTTGTCCTAGATACGGTGCCAACCAAGATGGCGACCCAGGAGAAATCACTGGGATCCAGTCCCAGTTTGAACCAAGGCATTCAATCGTCAAACCTACCATGACTGAAAGTAGTCAAGTGCTTTTCGACCCGATATCTCTGCTAGAAGATCGGAACGTTTACGCCATAAGTTTGCCCACAAACTTTAGTTTGTTGGGAAGGTGTTATGTTCAGGACACATCGCTAATTATTGTTCTATTGTTGATGGACGATAATTGATTGTTAACGTGACCTTAATTGGGAACATGCTTTATTGTATTCGTTCAATTCGTTGATTATAGAAATTGTTACTCGCTATATTTATTTAACCGTAATAAAATAGTATACGTGCATTACGCTTATTGTTGTCTAATTAGTTTAGTTTCAACTGTTCAAACCAGGAAACACGACACTTTCAAAAACCAGTTTGGAAACAATTGTTTGCAATTTTTCCATTAAATCTGCTAAAAGAGCAGCAGCATATTTTGTATTGTTCATATTCACGCCCCCAATGGATATTCAAGGTAGATTTATCTTTTTCATGAAGATCTCACTATAGGAATTGTACAAGTCTGGAGAGAATACACAGCCTTGTCTAACACCTTTCTTTATTTTGACAAAACAAGTTTTCTGGTTTTTCATCGCTACTCTTTGGTCCCAATAGAGGTTTTTAATAACTTTCGTGTCCAGATTTTCCAATATTTTCATAAGCTCCACGTGTTTCACGCTATCAAAAGCTTTGGAGTAGTCGACAAAACATATAAACAAGTTTTTCTTCATTTCAATTGCTCGTTCACATAAAGATAGCGTTTCTTGTGCCACAATCCACGACAAAACCACATTGGACATTTGAAATTTTAGATCTGATTTTGCTTCTTGCTCTAATTATCAGAATTCTCAAAAAAAGTTTTGTAAGATGACTCATCAAGCTGATTGTTCGATGTAGTTCACATTCTGTTTCATTAGGTTTTTTAGGCAATGCAATAAATATTGAGTTGGATCGATCTTCGGGAATTTCGCCGCGGTTATAAATCTTATTCAAAATTTTTGTCACTTTTTCAATGCCAAATTTATCAAGACATTTAATTTATTCAACAAATATTTCATTTGAACCTAGCGTTTTATTTGATTTCATTTTGGAAAAAGCTACACGAACTTCAGATCTAAGTATCTTTGGTCCTTCTACGTCTTTTTTAATAAAAGGCTTTCATCAAAAAAATTGTTAATGAATTCAGTCCATCTTTCAATTACTTTTTTTTTCTTAGATTACTTCACCGAATTTAGCTTTTATGCATCCAGAAACGGTAAGCCCTTTTTCTAGTAATTTCTTTGATGTTTTTATACATTGCATTTGTATTACTGTTTTTGATCTCTTCAATGATTTTGCACATGTCATTTAACCATTTTTCTCTGGTTTCTAAGCACGTTTTTTAATTGTTTTGTCCAGTTTTTTGTAACAATCATGATTGCAACATTTTTTTTTCTTTTTCATCCATCAGAGATACGATGTCATCTGTTATCCAGTTATGACCACTTTTTAGCTCTTTCATAGGTATAACTTGCCTTGCTGATTCTGTGAGGGCATCTCTAAATATTTCATATTTAAATTTATTTATGTCTTCCGTCAATAACTGAAAACGATTCCGTACTACTTGATAAATGTGCATGAGGCCATATATAATAAGGAGTTATAATAGTCCATTCTTGAAAGGACTAGACATCTACCAATAGCAACCGCAACATCAGATTTAATGTATAATAAGTTTTATTGCGCAGGGGTAGTAGTTAAATGATTTGATAATTTCAGATATGTATTTGTAGAAAATGACACCAAGCAACTTAATAGTATTCGATGGTGGCAATGCGGATCTCGCTATGTCCAAAACCTTCGACAGTTGCTGATGTGTTACAATCAGCAGAGTTTCAGATTTGTGAGGGTTAAGAAGAAGAAAGTTATTTATAAACCATCAAGATCATTCAGAGTAAAGTGTATGTGCGGATGTTTGTCATCGACGAAGTGATTAAAAATATTTCGTATTAACCGAAAATGTCACTAAATAAGAAAAGCATAGACAGTGAATAGGATTGGACCGTGAACAGAGCCTTGTATATTAATATTATTTTAGGTGTTATCTTGACTGGTTGATTGAGTGGTAGTTTAACAATTAGATTTATGTTGACGCTGATTGTTGGTGGTAGTTTGATTGGTGGTTGTAGAGAGTAGATGACGTAATCAATAACAGTTTCTATTACCTTGATTATTCTGGAACTGAGTGTTGTGAATATTTTAGGTACGGTTGGATATGACGAAGCTAGATCATTGAGGCGAGTTTATTTTTTGATAAAAGTTTTTGGTTGTTGACGTTGTTGCTGTGTAGGAAAACCGGACCACGTGCAAGTATGTGCGCCATTCAACTGTTTAAACGTTTTCATATTTATGTTAGTGTTTGTATAAGTTATGTTGGTGTGAAATATGTGTGCATGTAAGATGATGTATGCAAAATTTTGGTTTGTGCGCGTAAAGGATTTAATTATTTTTTTTGATAATGTTGTATAAATGTATAGTAATAATAATAATATGATTGAAGAATAACAGAGTAGACTAATATAAAAACCCATTTTTAAAACATCGTTCCTTCTTAAACAAAATCAATGAAAAAAATTAACTTTCTGATTACAAGCAAAAGCTGCAATTTTATTAAGATAAAGAGTGGTGTCTTTACCAACGTAGTTATTGTCAAATAAAATTTGATGTGCTTCTCTCGATTTTAAAAAATTAACGACGCGACAAAAGCGTATCAATCGACAACAATAACCAAATAAACTTTTGTTAGATAATTTTTTGAGAGACAAAACAGGCTTAGAATGGATAAACCGCAAAATTATATTTGATCTGGTAACTTTTTAAAAGAATAATTAAGTATGAAGCACACATTCTTGAGTGGCAGTGTTAGGATTCAAATGCAAAATCGATCCTTATCTACCACAAACATGGATGTGTAATGCGTTATTTATAGCTGAGATTTGACACCAATGAATAACGAAGATGTTCGTGAAAGTTTAAATTTTGTTCAATTCAATTACTATTTGAATAACCAAAGGTATAAACAGCTATAAATAATCTTCCTCAAAATTTTTATTTATATTTGAAATAAAATTGAAGTTTTGAAAATAATGTTTTATATATTGCTTAGTTTTATATTACAATTTCCACAAATAATAATTTAAATAAAAATAGTATTACACCAAACAAGCAAATATACTAAAAACACATTTTTAATATAATGAATGAACAAACTTGTTTGAATGTACCACTGCTTTTAAATAATTTTATGGCGGCCAATGAGGGCATAAAAAGAATTGACGACAGCGCTATACTCCAGCCAACCATGTTGGCCCAGAAAGGATAGACATAATTGTCATGTTTCAAAGGAGTGTACCAAACAAATCCAGATATTATTATTAGCTGTTAATGATTTCATTCAATAACGATTGTAAAAGCTAGCTGCAATTGTGATCATTTTAAATAATAATCATTTAAAATTTTGCGTATTTGATAATTTTTGTTTAAGAAAAATTGGATAAGCCGAAAAATTTTTTTTTAAAATAAATTTTAGTTAAATAGTAAAATTGAAAGTCTATATTTTAATATTTTAAATGATCATTATGCAGTGTAGGGAGACAGGCTAATGTATGTGCCTATTAGGTGTATATGTATATATATATATATATATATATATATATATATATATATATATATATATATATAATGTTGGTAATAGACCATAATTTTTACAATATTCTATAAATTCTACCGAATGTTTGACGTTAATATGTTGTAGTTCGTTTTTTCAATTTTTCTCACTAAAGTTTTTTGGTGAACGAACTACAAACATATTAACTCCAAACATTCG